CTTGTAGTACCTGTAGTACTTGTAGTACTTGTAGTACCTGTAGTACTTGTAGTACCTGTAGTACTTGCAGTACATGTAGTACTTGTAGCACTTGTAGTACTTGTAGTACTTGTAGTTGTAATACCTGTAGTACTTGCTGTACTTGTAGTACCTGTAGTACTTGTAGTACTTGTAGTACCTGTAGTACTTGTAGTACCCACAGCTTGCACAGGTTGCTACAATAGTGAACCCAGCAAGCAAACCTACTAAGGTGAAATGGAGCCTCTCCTGGTCCAGGGCCTTGGAAAATTGTGGAAAAGCTGTTCCTTAATAAGGGTTTAATAAGGGATTTGCTCCTTTGGGAAAGGCTTGGAGTTTGAATTTGGCAATTGCTTTTGGAAAAGGCTTGCTTCTCTTCTGGGCTTCCAGGAGCTGCTCTGGCACAGCTTGCTACAATGCTACAATAGTGAACCCAGCAAACAAACCTACTAAAGTGAAATGGAGCCTCTCCTGGCCCAGGGCCTTGGAAAATTGTGGAAAAGCTGTTCTTTAATCATGGTTTAATGAGGGATTGACTCCTTTGGGAAAGGCTTGGGGGTTGAATTTGGCAATTGCTTTTGGAAAAGGCTTGCTTCTCTTTTAAGCTTCCAGGAGCTGCTCTGGCACAGCTTGCTACAATAGTGAACCCAGCAAGCAAACCTACTAAGGTGAAATGGAGCCTCTCCTGGTCCAGGGCCTTGGAAAATTGTGGAAAAGCTGTTCCTTAATAAGGGTTGAATAAGGGATTTGCTCCTTTGGGAAAGGCTTGGGGTTTGAATTTGGCAATTGCTTTTGGAAAAGGCGTGCTTCTCTTCTGGGCTTCCAGGAGCTGCTCTGGCACAGCTTGCTACAATAGTGAACCCAGAAAACAAACCTACTAAGGTGAAATGGAGCCTCTCCTGATCCAGGGCCTTGGAAAATTGTGGAAAAGCTGTTCTTTAATAAGGGTTTTAATAAGGGGTTGGCCCCTTTGGGAAAGGCTTGGAGTTTGAATTTGGCAATTGCTTTTGGAAAAGGCTTGCTTCTCTTTTGGGCTTCCAGGAGCTGCTCTGGCACAGCTTGCTACAATAGTGAACCCAGAAAACAAACCTACTAAGGTGAAATGGAGCCTCTCCTGGTCCAGGGCCTTGGAAAATTGTGGAAAAGCTTTTCTTTAATAAGGGTTTAATAAGGGATTTGCTCCTTTGGGAAAGGCTTGGAGTTTGAATTTGGCAATTGCTTTTGGAAAAAAAGTCTTCCTCTCAGCAATTACAGGTTGTTTAAAACTAGACGACGGGTGGCCCGAGAGCGTAGAGGAGCAGAGTCTTCTGTTGTTAGTATGGAGACACTATATTACAAGATAATATGATAAAGATGTATTATAGGCAGACGAGAAGAGTAGTATCAAGACAATATATGACTAGTACAAGACAATAGTTTGCATCGTATTTTTGTAAAGTTTTTCATACACAGAACTTTTTACAGACAGACGCTTTTGCACACAGAGACTTTTACACACAGACGCTTTTACACACAGACGATTTTGCATACAGAGACTTTTACACCCAAACACTTTTACACACAGAGACTTTTACATACACAGACGCTTTTACACACAGAAGCTTTTACACACAGACGCTTTTACACACAGACGCTTTTACACACAGACGCTTTTACACACAGACGCTTTTACACACAGACGCTTGTTACACATAGGCTCTTTTACACACAGACACTTTTACACACAGACGCTTTTACACACAGACGCTTTTACACACAGACGCTTTTACACACAGACGCTTTTACACACAGACGCTTTGACACACAGACCCGTTTACACACAGACACACAGAGGCTTTTACACACAGAGCTTTTACACACAGACGCTTTTACACACAGACGCTTTTACACACAGACGCTTTTACACACAGACGCTTTTACACACAGAGGCTTTTACACACACAAGCTTTTGCACACAGACGCTTTTGCACACAGACGCTTTTACACAAAAACACTTTTACACACAAACACTTTTACACACAAACACTTTTACACACAGACGCTTTTACACACAGACGCTTTTACACACAGATGCTTTTACGCACAGACGCTTTGACACACAGATGCTTTTACACACAGACGCTTTGACACACAGACGCTTTTACACACAGAGGCCTTTACACACAGAAGCTTTTACACACAGACGCTTTGACACACAGACGCTTTTACACACAGAGGCTTTTACACACAGAAGCTTTTACACACAGACGCTTTTACACACAGACGCTTTTACACACAAACGCTTTTACACACAGAGGCTTTTACACACACACGCTTTTGCACACAGACGCTTTGACACACAGACGCTTTTGCACACAGGCGCTTTTACACACAGACGCTTTTACATACAGACGCTTTTACACACAGATGCTTTTACACACAGACGCTTTGACACACAAACACTTTTACACACAGAGACTTTTACACACAGACGCTTTTACACACTGACGCTTTTACACACAGACGCTTTTACACACAGATGTTTTTAGACACAGACGCTTTTCCACACAGACGCTTTTACACACAAACGCTTTTACAGACAGATGCTTTTACACACAGACGCTTTTACACACAGACGCTTTTACACACAGACGCTTTTACACAGAGACGCTTTTACACACAGAGACTTTTACACACAGTTGCTTTTACACAGACGCTTTTACACACAGACGCTTTTACACACAGAGGCTTTTACACACAGAAGCTTTTACACACAGACGCTTTTACACACACACACACGCTTTTGCACACAAACGCTTTTGCACACACAGTCTTTTACACACAGACGCTTTTACACACAGACGCTTTTACACACAGACAAGTCCGGCACAGGAAAAATCGCAATTTTACCTCAGTTTTTGCCGATCGACCCTCATTTCGTGCGAAAGGGTTGCTCCGGGGCAAGTAAAATCGCAATTTTACCTCAGTTTTTGCCGATCGACCCTCATTTCGTGCGAAAGGGTTGCTCCGGGGACAAGTAAAATCGCAATTTTACCTCGCCGATCGACCCTCATTTCGTGCGAAAGGGTTGCTCGGGGCAGTTTTTGACGATCGACCCTCATTTCGTGCGAAAGGGTTGCTCCAGGACAAGTAAAATCGCAATTTTTCCTCAGTTTTTGACGATCGACCCTCATTTCGTGCGAAAGGGTTGCTTTAGGACAAGTAAAATCGCAATTTTTCCTCAGTTTTTGCCGATCGACCCTCATTTCGTGCGAAAGGGTTGCTCCGGGACAAGTAAAATCGCAATTTTTCCTCAGTTTTTGCCGATCGACCCTCATTTCGTGCGAAAGGGTTGACGTTTCGTGACTCGCCGCCGGCACCACCCTCGGCCTTAAGAGAGAAAGATAAAGAAGGCGAGAGAGAGAAAAGGGAGAGAGAAAGGAGAGAAGATGTGAAGATGAGCAGATGTGAGAGAAGATGTGAAGATGAGCAGATGTGAAGATGAGCAGATGTGAGAGAAGATGTGAGAGAAGATGTGAAGATGAGCAGATGTGAGAGAAGATGTGAAGATGTGAAGATGAGCAGATATGAGAGAAGATGCGAAGATGAGCAGATGTGAAGATGAGCAGATGTGAGAGAAGATGTGAGAGAAGATGTGAAGATGAGCAGATGTGAGAGAAGATGTGAAGATGAGAAGATGTTTTACAGACCCCCACTATTGGAAGAACCCTGCGCTCAGACGCTCTCGGGAAAAAAAACTATCCCATTTTTTGCCACAAAAGTGGACCCTCCAAACAATACATGGGTTTCAGAATAATTTGGAAAGAATTGCCACAATAGCGAACCTAGCTACTAATCAGAGACCGACATTAAGTCGTGTGTGGACAAGTTGTGTGGTGACAAGTTGTGTGGTGAGCAAGTTGTGTGTGAGCAAGTTGTGTGTGAGTAAGTTGTGTGTGGACAAGTTGTGTGGTGACAAGTTGTGTGGTGAGCGACTTGTGGGTGGACAAGTTGTGTGTGAGTAAGTTGTGTGTGTGAGCAAGTTGTGTGTGAGCATGTGTGGCGGAGGTGTGTGGCGGAGAGGCGGAGGCGGAGGCGGAGGCAGGCGGAAGTGCAGAACCAAAAACAAGAACCCCACACAAAGATGTGGGGAAAAACGACACTAAATGTGCGTAGAATTGTAAACCTGAAGTGCTTGTCAAACTGCATTCCCCATCTCATCATAGCCGGGTCAAATTCAAACAGGCGGTTACGTGGTTACCTCTGAATCATGCTGAATCATGCTGAATCATGCTGAATCATGCTGAATCATGCTGAATCATTCTGAATCACTGAATCTCAAGGCAGCTCAGGGCTCAGGGCGCCACATGTCCCAGTGTCCCATCTGTCACTGAAACCGACGGTCATGCCATCTGGACAGGGCCCATTGCTGTTGTGGAGGCGCTTGTCGTCCCACCACCACAGCAGTGAGTATCACGGCTGCCGATCGAATTTCGACCAATTCTACACTCCTAGACATCGAAGACATCGAATTGCAGCACCTCCTTGGGGGCCGAACTGCCAATCACAATCTGGAAGTTGGACACCCCAAGATCGGGCTGCTAAGCTGTGCCCTGAGCCGTTTCATCATGTTTAAGGGGGTTCAATAACTTTGAGGGCCCGGTTCCTCCGTTCGGCGCCTGGCCGGAAGCCGGTGTGATGACTGGGAAATGCTGTCGCTGGGTTACACACAACATGACCGTTCTACCATTCTGTCCCGGCCCTCCCCCCCAGAGCAATGGCCAGTCGCTGGCTGAAACAGGACGGCAAAATGGAGCAATGCTGACATTGCCGACTTTACAGAGGTGCTTTACATAGCACCAGGGTAGCCTGAAAGTGTTCGATTTTCTGACTTGGCTCAGCCCTAATGGCCTTGACATTTCAAAACCAATATACGGTAATTACACAGTAAAACACGAATCCATGCTTTTCATGCGGTTCCTCTTTTCAGAAAGCTCCAACGTGTTACATCCCGCTGGTGACGCTCAGAGCTACCCTGGGCCACGGAGCAAAAGAGTGGCTCTCAACATCCTGGGAACGGCACAAAAAGGGCCCAAATGGCAGTGCGGCAGTGCACTATGGAAGCTCTATGGTTACTATAGCTAGCATACATAATATAATATCATATAATATAACTAATTAAAATATTTATGCATATACTATATATATATATATACACTATGCATGGGTGTATATATATATAATTATACTATATATGACAGGAAGAGAGAGAGAGAGATGTCCACATCTATGTGTATCTCTCTATTCATGTATGTATATCTCTCTCTATATATATATATGTATGTATACAAATATATGTATACAAATCTATGTATATGTGTATATATATAATACGTCCGTGCAATCTATTGTTGTCATTTGTGAAGCAAGAATGGCGTCACTCATAAAAAAACAAAACACACGAACGTGCACCTGGCTTTCCAGCAACGATGGCGCAAGGCCAACAATACCCCGTACCCCATCACCCCATCTGCCAAATTCTATGGTTTCGGTGGTCGAAGATCCCATGGAATCTTAAAACCTCAAGCCTGGGGTTTGGGGGACCAAGTAACGCCAAGTAAATATGTGGCTAGCAGTCTGAAAGGTGACTACCCCCGAATTGAAAAATAGCCCCCCCAAATCCCAGGGTTTATCATCAAATTCTCAGTTGTTTATCGGTTTTTGCCCATATCTTGGGGCGCACCCCATCCCACCCCCCACTTTGGACAAACCCATGATACATTTTGATCTTTGATGTAGCCCATCATCCATCTGATGGGTGGCCTTATCATGACCAATTCCCTGGAAACCTGCGCCACTTGATTCACCATCCAGAGGTTGCATGTGACTGTCTGGGGGCAACAAAAAACATGGGGAATGGCCCATCTGCATCATCCCCATCATCCCCCATCTATTCCAAGCTCAGTGGCCACTCCCGCAGGCCCTTGTAGGGCCAGGCGCAGGAAAGTGTCTGCTGGCAGCCGTTCTTGTGGCCGATGCAGGGGCATCAACCATCTTGGCGGAGGAACGTCGATGTAAACCATTGAGTTGCTGAAAGCCAAGAATGGGACTGTGTAGCCCACAAATTCTGATCATTTCTTCAAGATGAAAAGTGGCGGCGGAACCAATTCAAAGGCACGTGGATACTGTTTACGGGTATGTTTACCCATGCGAACAATCACCAATGAGACACCTTTATCCTTCTAAAGGCCAGTTCTCCATCTGTTTTGATTGACCCGATTTGATCTCTGGGCTTCTTTGGCATCAACATGACTTGGTTGAACGTTCCACTATTGACTATACAAGACCTCACATCGTTCATCCGTTTCCCCACCAAAGAATGGCACCCCGAATCTAACCCTGGATATTACCCGCCCGCAAGTTATGTTTGATTTATGAACCCAGTCAAAGGTAGATACATTTGATTATACATTTATTTAAAAAAAAAGTTTGACCCACCAAATTAAACCAACTACCAACTTAGCTAATTGACGGGTGATTTGCCACCTGAAAAACCTTACCATAGTTGTTGGGGGAGCATCATCCCTACACTCTGCGAAGGTTCCAGGGGTCAGCGACTCCCGCTTCGCAGTTCACCGCCTGGGAATGGTTTCAGCATGGGACAAGGGATGATAAGGGGAATATAAGGGGGAAGTACCCTCTGGTAAACTAACATAGCAATGGAAAATCATCAGATTTAATGGGAAAACTCACTATAAATGGTCATTTTCAATAGCTATGTTAGATTATGTTAGTTTACCAGAGGGTATGGGGAATCCTATTTTTTTCTGCAGCCCCCAATTTATTGGGATTTATTGGGCGACCACAAAGACTTCTCCGATGCGACCACAACACCGTTGGGATCATTGATCATATTGATCATGATCATCCCGAAGATCTGGAAAAAAAAACGCAAAGAATAAATCTGGGCAAATTAAAACAATTCACTAACCTGAAGTCTTGGGCCATTTTGGGATGATTGCTCTTATGAACCATGATTCCAGGGTTCGGTCGCAGTGAGGTCGTTATAGTTCAGATCAATAAAACATAAAACCATCAAAACATAGAACAACCTTTGCGGACCCTTGGAACTGCTACAGTAAGCGTTTCGTTGGGGAACCCCTTTAGTAGGCCGGGGCCCCAGTCGAATCTCCCATCCTGTCGACTGCTGGCCTCAACTTGACTCTCCAGAGACTTCCACCTCTACCTTGGTCCCAGCAGGATCTGATCGAACTTGACCAGTTCGGTAGGCTGACTTGCCCAGGGAGGCCTTGTTGTTTCTAACTTCAACAACGATACTAATTCAATCTAATTCATATATATATACATATATGGGTAAATTATAATATTTCACTAACCTGAATTAAGGCTATTTGGGGATGATTTCCCGAATCCTAACCATGATTTCCAGTGTTCGGTCGAACAGTGAGGTCGTGATGAAGTTTACCCAGATATATGGAATATAATATAAATTTCAAATATTCATGTATATATATATATATTCCCATTCAACTTCATATATGGGAATTTTCCTCATGGACTTCACCGATCCGACCCCTTTTAAGAGAGAAAATCATATGGATGTACCTTCGATGCAGGCTCCGTGGAGCAAATGGCTATGAAGCCGCCAATGATTAACCTTTCGCAGCTTCAAAGCATGTTATTTTCGGGGCTGCCTCCACAGTCTTCAGTTCCAAATCTATCAAATCTCATGTCAGTGTTTGTCTAGTATTTTAGGATTATTTCATTTCTCTCAGTTAGGAACTCTCCACTTTTCATGGTGAAAAACCACCCCACCTGGCTGCATAAAAACGACCACATTCTTCGAATGTGGATCCCATGGTTCGGCCAAGTTCAACTTTTCTTGCTGACCCTGGGTGATTTCTAGTTGATTTACATTGATTCACCATGATTTACCTCTTAAAAATGATCTTCCATTGCAAAGGGCTCAATTCTCATGAAAATCATGAGAAAAATCCCATGAAATCCCAGAAAATCTGAGGGTAACCAACCACTGACAGATTGGACCCTCTGGTTTTTTTCGTCCAAGCAACACGGATTGGCAGCTGGCCCTGATATTTTGTGGTCTCCCCGCGCCAGTCCGACTGCAGTTCACAAACCTGCGCAGTGACGCAGCGCGAACTGGATTCTCGCTGTGGGTTGATATACTGAGAGAGAAAACCTGGAAGAAAATCATTCTGATTTATGAAGAATTGGAATGTCTTGGTATATTGAGAAATCCGGATTTCATGGGATAAACACTTCATATGCCATGTAGATCTGGATTTATAAAGTGTGTATCCCCAAATTGATCTGGATCCAAACTTTAAGGGGGATGTAACCATTGTCAATCACTCATCTATACTAACATATATTAATCATGAGTATGTAACCATCATTCATCACGAAACATCAGATCCAAACAAAACATCGCTATGACTATAACACTATAACACGCAGCAATAGTGATAGTTGTTAAGCCACGTTTAACGACTATCGGTGGGTTTGCCATATATGTAATCATGATTAATTGTCATTAATCACTGTTATTATAATCCTTAAGCTTTCTTAACCACATCGGAAACCACGATCAATGATTCATAATTATGATACGCATCAGTCGTATCTGTTTATATCGCCATCATGTAAATCACATTAAATAACTGTTTTGATATCATCCCTGCTTACTATTTGCTTCAACATTTCACCAACCATCTGGGTATGAGTCATTTTTTTACCCCAAGACTTAGATTAGAGATTAGATGATTAATACTAAACATATCTAAACATAGATCCAAATTCCAATGATGGTTATATAATACTATTTAATAATACTACACTTAGATACGTTTAGCATGCCCCCAATCTAATGATGTCACATATCGTTTCACGATCTTGTCACACTAAAAGCTCACTGGCACTAGCCATCTATTGGGTAAGTATAATATATCAGCGAATGGTTAATATTAACCCAATAGATGATCTGCTGATATATCAATAGAATATTAACATACCAAATATTCACACTAGATGGTATGATATTGACCGAATAGATATGATATGATCTTAACCCAATAGATAGCTAATTAACCCATCTAGTCTCGACCCATTCCCATCGGCATCGGCATCACGCCTCGGTGATTACCTGTCCTGGCTTCGTTTGGATTGGACCCACGCGCAGGGAGCCCACCACGAAGAAGACGCGACGACCGACGCTTGCCTCGGAGCCGTCTCCCGGCGGAGAACGCAACGCCGATCTGCAGATGAGCTATGTATATCTAAAATGGAACATATACAGCCAATGTTTTCTGGGATAATTAGTTAAAACCCATAAACTGATTGTCTTTGAATGAGTGTCATCATGGGTGAGCCTTAAAAACCACATATAAGACATGATATGGAATAGCCATTGAATCTTAAATGGGGAGTTTTTTTTTATTGCAAAAATAGTGCGCGAGCAATATGACCATCTGACATCATCTGACCAACATGGTTTACCAATGGAATCACCAGAAAAAATGAACATGATGCCACGATGAGGATCTTTGGTAGAGCCATCGACATCAGGATTTAATCATCAATGATCATCAAGCGGTAAACGGAAAAAAACAACTCGTTTGGGATACGGCACAGATATAGATATGGCTATGAATATGGGTACTTTTGGGGTTATACTTGATGGATGTTAATGGGACGGAGCCCACAATGAAGCAGAGTACCCCCAAACTTGTCACGTAAAATGATGAGCAACCATCAAACATGCCACCCTAATCATATTTTCGGACAAATTGCAGCCCTTTCATTGGGGAAAAAAAAAACTCAGACAAACCCATACAACAAAGAACAGCCACACTTCAAGTCAATTTTGAACCCCAGTTTTGGAGAGGTATGGTTTTAATGCGATTTAATACCACCCAAATGATAAGACTAGGTCAATTGGGTACTGTTTATCGACCGCATCTTGTATTTGAAAAAATATGTATCCAGCATGAGGACCACCCTACCCTATGCAGCACCGGGTTGGACAAGAATGTTGTGTCTAATAGGATGGTAGCCCCCAAAAACATAGAAACATCTAGAAATGTGTTTCCAGGATGCTACAAATGATGTTTCCTGTTGAATTTCCAAGTTTCCAGCTTGAAATGCATCTATGAATCTATGACTGGGGCCAACTACGTCATGTTTGCAGATGGAAAATGGTCCATTAAGTTCGACTACCTCAGGCTATGTTGAGATTTTCCGCGGCTATGTTCATTTACCTCAGGGTATTATTCCCATATTACATCATATTACGATCTACATATACCACTATGTCCCCATAATATGTTTGGTTAAATCCCATGAAATCCCTATTGTTGATGCTAAAATCCCGAAAAACAAACAATATCAAACAATTATATAAATCATATAAAATCCGTCGTTTTACTGGTTAAATCCCATTAAATACCATAAATATCACTTTAAAAAAAACGTTTCATTAAATCCTTATTATCGTGGTTAAATCCACCCCCCTCCAAAAAAAAAACACAACTGAGTCAAGGCCGAGGGACAGGAGAATCCATCAACTTCAGCTGCAAAGAGCCAAACTTCGGCAGGGCTTCCGTGACCTGCCGAGCGGCAGAGCGGCAAGGGTGGTTTTAATGACTGAGTTCACTTGGGGGTTATGATGTCTTATAATGAATGAATACATACTGTAACTACATTTAGATGTACGGTTTTTTTTAATATACGAACAGGTATTTTAGACTACCTCCGGGAAGGTTTTCCTTGGCCCGCCCAGCCATTTAAACATACGGAATCCAATTCATTTAAACATACCGTAACTACAATTAAATATACGAACTGGTATTTCATACTACCTCCGGGGCCTCGCGGTTTGGCCCGCCCTCCACATATTTAAATGTCGATACCGTATATATATATATATATTCCCAGTTGGATGGATTGATACCCAACTTACAAGTTGGGCCCCCCAAAACCGGACAAGTGATACTCTCGGGTTGCACAGCCCAGCACCTGGGTCTTCTTGTGCTTCTTGGTGTTTCGGCAGTACTCACTCATCCATAGCTTGCCGGGGGAAAAGATCCTTGGGGCAGAAATCAGTGGAGGTAGTAATTAAAAACTGGGATGATACTGATGTACTTAAATTGGGTGATTGATATCCTTTAATCATGTATTTATATATTAAAATAGCCACTCATGATCCCACCACCAATGGACCAATATCCATGCTGGACATGCCAGAAATGCTCCCGGGACACATTTTCCCAAGGTAGATTTATGAAGAAAGTGGCATGGATAATCTGCTCCTACGAACAGGAAACACAAACGCCCAATATACACATTGCTTCTCGTTCAAACAAATGCTGCATAATTGCCAGTTGTCCATTGGGCCTTTCACTATTGTACCACCTCAAGAGTGATAGAAGGAAATTCCTACTAAGATAGCGATGAGTTTAATCGTTTATATCTTTTTGGGAGGTACTGGCGTAATGCGCAAACATCCAGTTTGGCCCACAACATCTTTTGGGCTTCTAAGATTTCAGGTTTAAAAGATTTAGTGTTTTAATCAGGGATTCGGCGTTTAGGGTGTTTCCTTTGTGTTTTCAAAGGTCTTTGGCTTACGGATTGGGGTTTTAGAGTTTTAAGTCTCAAGGGTTTTAGATAATTTATGGATGCAAAGGTCCCTTCCCAAGCCTTTCAGACATGCAGTGTTTTGAGAGGCCGCTGGCAATCAAGGTGTTTGCCCGTGACGTTATACATTTATGATGGTACCCAAGAAAAAGGTGGAAAAGTCAGTGGAAAAGTATGTCCAGTAAAAAGGTGTTTCAAAGTCAGTGGACAAGTATTTCCAGTAGGCTAGTTTGATGATGTTTCGCCTCTATTTTCCAGGTGTCCCACTATTCTGTCCCACTTTTCCATGATTTGCATAGCAACAACAGCCTCCATGGCTCCAAGGCGCACACGAAGGCCCTCGAAATCTCCAACCTGAGACCATGGCCATCGCCGTTTTTTCGGTCGGGGGGAACTCGAATGCTCCAATTCATGGCAAGGTGTGTGTCGTTTTTTTTTTGGTGGTGTAATATGGAAGACATACATACATACATGTGTGCATTGTATATTACATATTAGTGTTGTATTTTATGGTATACCATACAGCCATATAGCATATATTATATTGGCCGTGCCCTCCATGCGGACAAATCTGCGACGCCATGATATTATATGTATTTATTATACTATTTATTAATCTATTTATTAATCTATGGGAGCAATGATGATCAACCCTGGGCCGCTGGAAATCATCACACAGCTGGCTCATCGTGACAGGAAGATACAACTTGACCAGGGTCATATTATGCTTCCCCTCACTGACTGTCCAAGTTCCTCCGAATGCATCTGGTCTAAAAAAACACCGTCTTAAGCTGCACACCCAACCAGCGCATGCTCAAAAATCACCCAAAAAGATGAGACTCAGATCTACCTTCAATAGATTTACCTGTACCTAAAAGATAACTACTACTTGAAGTTTACCTTCAAAAGATCACCCGGGGCCAGACCTTTGGTTCCAAGGGGCAGTAATGGGGTGGGACACCAGCGCGCATCCGCAGGAGGACTTAAACTTCGCCTGTTGAGCGGTCGCGGGTGGCTTGAAGAGGCCCCATAAAGCGCACCTAACCTTGTGGGTCAGACCCATCACCACCATCTTTCATGTTTATTGACTCATGAAGAAACCAACATACATCTGAAATATCTGCAAATGTGACTGAAAACTGGGGATACTTGACCCACAGAAGAGAGACTACACTCAGTAAATCAGTCAGGTGGAAATAAATTGAGATACAAAATGTAAAACAGGGCTGGAGCCAAAAAACTTCAATCATGAAGGCATTTCATGAGGTCACCAAAACACCTGCGGCAGAGCTCTTCTGAAAACCAAGATGTACCATGGAACAAATATCTGATCTGAAATCTTGATCAATAGCCATGTTTTTTTTTGCACCCCAAAGTCGTACCACAGTCAACTGACCCCCCCTCTCGGACTTGGTGTCTGACGCTTGGGTTCATCAACTGCCACTGTGGCTCCTGCACTCAGGCGTAGCGCAGTGCCTTGATTCATATGCCTTGATTGATGCCCATCGCGACTCATCGCTATCAGTAAAGTTTGTAAAGAATCAAGGATAATCAAGGCCCAAGTTATGTCCAAATTACTTTAAAGAATATACTACAAGGTGGTGCCCCCCAAGTTATAAGTTGGTTTAAAATCCCATGAGAACTATAGATATATCACCTATAAACCATAGTTATTGGAGTTATTTGCACCAACTTAGCTATCCAGGGGGCACCACCTTGTATGTTTAGCTTGTTCTTCATCCTACTTGAAACACGTGGTTCCAGGTTGGTCCAGATCGTTGTGTCCCATTTGTCGTTGGTTCCGGCGGCTCCTGAGAAGTTTCCATCAACCCGGGAGGGGGGCGGGGAGCCTGATTTTGTCCCAGAAGGTTCGCCAAATGCAACCTGGGCGGTGATGCGGTGATGCTATGGATAGGAAAATCATGGAAAATCTGAGTTAAATGATGGTATACCCTCTGGTAAACATACAAAAAACTATGGAAAACCACAGAAATGTTGGGGGTAAATCAACTAGAAATGGCAATTTTCAATAGCTTTGTTCGTTTACCAGAGGGTAAATGTTCATCATCAATTTCATCAATGCCGATTTCAGTAAAATGGAGGTCCCTACATAGCCATTGATTTCCGATTTATGAGTGAAAACTATCCCACATAAATTTCCCAAAGATGGACCTGCGATACTTCAGTGATGTGAAACTTCAAGAACCATATGTGTCAATGATGTGTCCAATTCAAAATGGGAAAGAAAGATGCTTTCGATGCTTTCGATGCTTTCAGCTGCTGCTTTCAAACAAACTTTTCCATCCGATCCCCAGCAACCGCAACAGTATCGTATGTTTCCATGTCTCATACATTTACCCTCTGGTAATTTAACATAGCTATGGAAAATGGCCATTTATAGTGAGTTTTCCCATTAAACATGGTGGATCTTTCCATAGTTATGTTAGTTTACCAGAGGGTACTGATTATTCAAAATCCCCATGCTATCCGCTGGCTCGGATGGTCATCAACACATTGCTATAATGTGGCAAATGTTACTGTAAACTACCATCTGATTATTTAACATAGCCATGGAAAATCACCAGTTTTAATAGGTAAACTATCTATCAATTGGTCATTTTCCATGGCGATGTTAAATAACCAGATGGTATCCCGAAAATCACCATTTTTCAGGTGCATAAACCATCCCCAAACTTTATGTCTATGGCATCGGTTATACCCAAGATTTTATCCTACCATCAACATAGCTATGGAAACTCACCATTTTGTAAAGCTAGAAATCATCTATAAATGGACCGTTTTCCATGGCTATCTCAATCTACCACAGGGTAATTCTTGTAAATATTCCCGTTAAAACTTTCTTAAGTACTACCCTCGGGTAAATTAACATAGACCCTGAAAATAGCACAGTTTCAATGGAAACTAATCTTCCAACCTCGATGACTGCCAGGGTCTATGTTAATTTACCAGAGGGTATATCACATGGAAATTCATCGTCATCGATTTTTCGGCCATTTTCCTTGGATGCCATGTGAAGCTGCCTTTTTGGTGGCCGTGTGACGGCACCTTGGATGGTGACTGTGGCACACCATCCGACTCCGAACGCGGCGTTCCACTGGAAGCCGATGGCGAGCAGGTCCTCAAAACCGCAGCTGTCAATACTCATGCTGTGTAATAGTAGGTACCCTCTGGTAGCTATGGAAAATTGCCATTTATAGTGAGTTTTCCCATTAAACATGGTGATTTTCTATAGCTACGTTAGTTTACCAGAGGGTAATATGTGATATATGTGATATATTTTCGATATCAGACACATATAATATCACAAAATATGTAATATAATGTTTACTAATTAGACACATATAATATAATGTTTCAACATAATAAATCATATGTGTCTAATTAGTAAAAGCAAATATTTCAATATGTCTCAATATAAACATCAAATCTCTATAGCACTCATTTACATTATATAGATACGTCTGGGTAAATTGTAATAATTCACTAGCCTGAAATCTTGGGCCATTTGGGGATGATTCCCCGAATCCTAACCATCATTCCAGTGAGGTCGCAGTGAGGTCATTATAATGTATTATAATTTATCCAGGCACATATAAAAATAATAATAATTAGAGATTTTCCGATGTCAATATACTATCTATATCTATCTACACACACATATATATATATATATATATTGGTGCATATATATATATGTGTGTATGTATGTATGTATATATATATAATTATATATATACAATTATTTATATATGTATATATATGTGTGTGTGTGCGCGTGCGTGCGTGTGTATCGTTTATTTAACTTGCGTGTTATTATTGTTGCTACGGTCAATCTTGATGGGCCCTGCGACTGACCATCATCAACAACTGCCGGGAATGATCAGCCATGGAGATGAATTCGGTAGGGTATGATTATGATGGAGATATGAGCATGGACCCACCAAATGGGGCGCGTTGCAAGTGGGATGGTCGGGCCGAAAATGGCTTACTATTGGTGACACTCTGCTTTGGTTCAAAAGCCCTGTTTATCAGTTGACCCACTTTTTTGGTGAGTCAAATCCGCATGCTTTCTCAACCCAATTCCATCTTCTGTGAGTAAATCATGGAGATTTAGCCAATTTTTCTTGATGTTTCTCTTTAAAAGCCCACCTGATACGCTCATCTCACTCATCAGTAATTACTCATTTTTGCCATGTGGCACCCAGCCCCTAAATCGTAAACGCAGCAGGTTGCTCCGCATCGGAGTTGCAACTGATATGGCAGAGTTCGGAACCCTTGGCCTGTTGCTGTTGGTTTCACTGGGCGTCCAGGACGGGTTTCAAGTTCTGGTGAAAAAACTCGAGTTGAAACCATGGTAGAATCAGCCAAATATAGAGGGTTTCCACCCATCATATCATCATCCAGTTTTGGGAATGTTTTTCTTCTGCCGGAGATGAGTCACTAGTCATGTGGGGCATGATGGGGCTACAAAATGCTGTAAACCTACCACAAGGTAGGTGGGTGAGGACAAAGCAATGAGAAATGTCAACAACTCACCAGCAACAAGTATGGGCAGTATGGGGATCTAAGCAACGAACATCAGATTTAACAAACAAACATTTCACTTACAAAACATGAGAGTTGATTGAATCAAGTAAGAAAAGGGATTTAAGATGCCAGCAAACCATGACTATTCAAAATGATCATATGTTCATCAAATGCGTTGTTTTCACAAAAACATCTTCCCCCGTGGTAATTCATGTTGTGGGCCAAGCATCAGCCAATGAAGATCCAACCCTGGAACCCTCCTGAATCTGAATGACTTGGAGCAAAAACCACTCACCAGATTCAACTCGGCATCCAGATTTCCATATTGGTTCTTTACTAATTGAATATCTCTTGGAAAGAAAGATTCACCTGAAACCACTGACTCTGCAAATTAGAATCTTTAGTATCTGAGTATCTGTATGTATTTATATTAAACAATTATCAAACCATATTGAACCTATTACAGTCCCCGTTAAACGTGGTATACACTTATACCATCTTAGACACTTCGATGCTGCTCACATCCGCAACATCCCGTTGGATCATCGCCTGGAGCTGCTTTAAGATGCACTGTGCCAGCAGGTCGGTGTTCAAGCTCATGGCTTCCTCAGGCCATTCCGTAGAAGACCCAGCTTTATTTGGAAAGATGAAAGTATCAACGCATGACACTATATAACATAATAATAGTAAAACGTTAAACAATACGAATAACTAAACATGATAATAACAGTAAAAAAAAGTAGTAATAATAATCGTAATAAGAATAGAAAAAAGTATTAATAACAGTAATAACAGTCATAGCAATAATAACAGTAATGATAAAAGTATTAATAGCAATAGCAGTGCATGTATACATGCTGATGAAACAACTGTAGACGCTTCGCGAAGGTTTTGGCAATGCCACTTTGAGGGATCCGCAGCCCAAGCCAGTCACATGCATTAGAACTTGGTGGCTGCCTGCTGCCCAGAACCAATCGAGCTACATTTACAATTGAAAGCAATCTTGGGCCACTTGGACATCGTGCAACCACAGCTGATATATATATATATATATATATAACGGGGGACTTCAATCGCAAAATCATGTTAAAACCAAGGGTATATTATATAATATATATATACAATGGGAATCGAATGTGATAAAACTCCAACCATTTCCTTGGGATATTAATGGAGTCTTGTCATGGAATAACCCGCCACCAAAGCTGACTTCCCCAATAGTTGTTGGTGTTTTGTGGCTATTGCTGGCTATTTGGGGCAAAATAATGGGCTAGTTGCCCACATTCATTTTGATAAATGGAGTGGCTGCCAGCTTAAAATGCTCATTTTCATAGGGAAACCCATGGTATCCAGCAGTGGATTTGGGATACCAGGGGATACCTGACTCAGAGATGTCGGTCTCAGTAGGCATAGATATGCCATGGGTTTCAGGATAAACCCCAGGAAAACAATGGTCAAGACTTTCAAAATTGAGGGCAACTTGGGCTACTGGGGGCTATATTGAGCGCAAACATATCCTTCAAATGCCATACAAATTGACAAACCAACGCCTCGCCGTGATGATGGAGCCATAGTCCAAGGAACCGTTCCAGCCATCATTGCCATTGCCGGTTTGTTCTCACCCAGTGAGTTTGTTCTCACTCGATTAAGACTTTCTTTCACCGTAGGGCGACTTCGGCGTTGAAAACGCTGGGCGTTGAGCGGCTGCGGGGCAGGTGACATCATTTCGACTTCACCACGGGAAATCATCTCCAAGTCATCACCATATTTTTATGGGTGGGATTCCATCCATCCCCGAAATGGCCGGTTTATGATGTTGTTTGCCACATCTTTTTCTAGTTCTCCATTCTTGATCTGAGGTTTTTCTCCCCACTATTCACCATTATTAACTAGACGGTACGGAATGGTACGGATGCACATCCCTCATCCACCCCTCATCCGCCCCTCATCATCTCTTTTTTCCAACGCGGAAGAGGTGCCACCACCGCGGTTGTTCGGCGTTGCGTCCGGACCGGTCGGACACCAAGTGTGCCATGGTTGCATCATCAATGGCACCGGCAAGATATATGATCCTGGTTGAAACTGGTTTAATCACCGTTATATAATCATGGTTTATCATGTTTAGTGACTAGTCCTATTGAATTCATGGTTAATCATGGTCAATTCTCTTGGAGTTTGCATGTCCTCACAGCGGAAATTTCTTGTTGGATCTTATTCTCTGGCATGCTTCCACTGAATCCAACTTTACGGAATCGACCGAACTTGAAACAGCTCCCCAAGACAGAAGTTGGATTCAAGATGATTCAAGTAACTTAGTCTAAGCATGTTCTGATTAATGATTGATAGTTTTTTGAAATAAATAGATAGATTTTTTGGACATCTAACAGTTCTAACATCATTTGTTTTCTCAAAATATCTGGACGCATCACTGAAATTCCAATGATTTCCATCTCATTGGACCTTGTTCACCTGGCGCGTCCGGTGCAGATTTTTGATTTTTGGGATGTCACTGGGTAAAAAATCCAGCAGCCATTGATTCATATGCTACAGTAACATTTTGTTGCAATCTATATGGTAATATGGTAAGTAATATCCATCATTTTTTTGGCAATCCATGGATTTCATCAACCATGACTTCACTTCGCTAGTACGGCGTCCATAGGACATCCCATGAGATCCCCTGGATTGTCATACTCATTTGGGGCCCCGTTATGATCAACAATCATTGGGGATGTCAGTCACTGTTTTATCCGCCGTGCTAACGGCTGCTGGTTGCTGCTGTGGTTTAATTTCTCACACTTCACCATGGCAAAAAAAGCCCATTTCTAGATGGGTTGTAAGGAAAGGCTTTACTAATTGTTTTACTACCTCCATGGCCATTTTCCATCATGTTCAATCATGTTCCACCATTTTAACCATCATTAACCATCATTATATAACCATCATTTTCACCATCATTAACCATCATTTCAACCATCATGTTCCATCATTTTAACCATCATTAACCATCATTAACCATCATTTTCATCCCCCATCGAATTTCAGGGGAGACTTTGTGACCCTAACTCTGTATGTTACAAAAATTATTCACAAGCTTGGGGCTATAGAATGAGGTTGCTGAGCTCAATTTTTTCCCAAAATGGCCTTAGCTACAAAATGCCCCTTCGTTTCAACAACCTTGGCATAGGGGGAATTTCCCTTGTTACAAAATACCCCTTCGTTTTCAACAACTGCACATACAAGGACATACCCTTTGCTACAACATGCTTTGATTTTGATAAGCTCTGATGAAGCTCATCATGTCATGCCACAAAATGCCACTGCGATTTTCATGATGGGCTCACGTAATTAAAATGATTCCTTTATAAAATGAGATTCATAAGTTTAAGCTACAGAATCTTGGATCTGGATTTCATGTCACGGTTAGCCTGACTAAAATGGAAGCCTAAATTCGTAGGGGGATTCATGTTCACCATCTGCAGCGCGTTTTTTTTAACCTGCTGGATCCACCTTGGCATCGGGCGGTGGTCCACCTGTCACGATGACCTCACCTTGATCACCAAATTTGATCGACGCCTCGGAGGGCAAATTCGAGGCATTGTTTTTTTCCCCCGAAAAAATTGTGGAAACTCATGGAGAAAATGATGGTTAAAATGATGGAAAACTATGGAACACCGGAAAAATATTGTTTTGTAACATCATCGAACTACTGAACTACCATCCTGAAAATAATTTTCCAATACGTACGTCTATCTTTTTGGTGGTTACTATAAACTATGCATATGTGGATCTATTTGATGGGAACAACCACAATTTGCAAAGGTGAATTTCTCATATTCCCTGTTCAATCCTCCCATGTGGCGCTCCAATCCTAGACTCTTGCGGGGTGTTTAATATAGTCTAGGGGAACGGATTACAGGCTTGCGACCAGATGTGTCTTAGATATCCATTCCGAAGACCTCATTTCTCCTAGCCATCACCTTTTTGGGGATGTTGACCCCCTATTTTTCAGCACTTTTTTTTGTGATGCTTGACCCTGCATTCAGAATAGAACACCAAACATCATCTAACTCATCGGAATCACAAAAACCAAAGGGGGGATTATCATCAACATCCACCGCTAAATAAAAAGGCCTCTGGCAGCAAAGAGTACTTAAAATTTCAGCACCTTTGTTTAATAAAAAACACTCAAACGGCAGTTTTCAGCAAGAAAAGTGCCCTTGGAAGATCATACCTGAGTCATATCCAAGTAGTTCTATTCCAAGTTGTGATTCCAATGCTACAACTGTTGGATACTGTTGGTGCCTGCTACTAGCACCAAATCAGAGACTGAAGAGCCTGCATGACAGGATGAACAAGTTGCTAGAATGGTATGAAAGAGGGCAAAGCTGCTTAAGACCAGAAAACCCATGAAGCCAAAGACAGGTGAAGTGGGAGCCATGGTCCCAGTGTCAAAAAAAATCAGAACCGGATCGCTCAATTTGACTATGTGAGTTGTGTGCGCCCATGGTTTGTCATTTGTATCATACCTGAAAAACCTCGAATTTCGAAATTGAAAATGGGTGGTTTCCCAATTACCGCAAATTACGCCTTTTTCCCGGCAAACTGCGCCTTTTACCCGGCAAATTACTCTTAGAACTTTAACCGGAAACTGGCGTCAAACCTACTAAAAGACATCTGTAATGGTAGAACGCTCCAAAAGTCAAAAAACGCCTCTTAAATAAAAAGGCAGATTTGGGCCAAGGGCAAAAAAAAAACGAGACCCTCAACATCTAGGAAAATAATATTACTAAAAAATCAAGAATCTTGCACAAGACTGCAGGGCATGACCCCTTGATGCCGTGAAAGTGAAGTGAAAGTGAACGTGTCCATCTTTGATACCCCCAATGGCCGGTCAGCTCTGTCAGCCATCTCCTATGGGGAGCGTAAGGCACAAGAAAACGCTTCAGAGATGGTGGAAGATGAAGAACAAACATGATGCAACCTCACTTGAACCCCGAATTCTAAGCATATACATGCATATACATATATACATATACATACCGTATAAAATAGGATATAGGCTCTGGATACCAACCCCTGAAATTTCATTTGAAAGTAGTGCCAGACGCGGCAGAAGGTACAAATGTTCACGACTGCTAACGGTCGTGCAGTCGTGCATCCGTGCCCTGCAAAATCAAGGGGAGCTATGCAAATGAAAGATGACTGAACCACTATAATAAGTAGTATTATCCAATACATACGTAATATATCATTTGGTAATTTCACATATGGAAAATCCCCATGTAAAAGAGATAAAACCTGCAAACGGGCAATTCTTTCACTGCAATGAGCATCCAAATACTGCGGATAGCACCAAGGGCATGGCTTCAAAATCCCTAAGTTCCACGACGGAAATTTCAGAGTGCAGCTCTAAGCTTGGAAGATCTAGGATAAAAAGTCCTGTTGACTGCTATTAAACTATAGTATGCATCAAATTTGGATATATATATATATATATTAGCATAGAGATAAATACTGTATAATAATGTAATGTTGTTATACCCTCTGGTAATCAAACGTGTCTGGCTGGAAAATCCCTGATGTGTCTGGCAAGTTTACAACTGGGAACATCATCGAACTATTGCTGGTAGATTTTCCAGCCAGCCACGTTTGATTACTGGAGGGTAAAGTCAATTTTGCAAATAAAGTATATATATATAAGGACTTATACTTAGAACCATCATTTTTTTCAAAAAACAACAGCCCCTTACTTAGAACATAAACGGACACTATACTATACTATTACTATTACTATTACTATTGCTATTGCTATTACTATTACTATTACTATTACTATACTATACTTAGAACATGGGCAACTGTTCTAAGTGCGAACTTAGAACATCCAAAGGACACATGCTTAGAACATCTCCATTGATTCTTGCATACTTAGAACATAAACCAACCATATACTTAGAATCAGAACATGTCCATGGACTTTGATATGTTATATATAGTTTGATGTATCAATGTATCAACATAAGACTGATGCCGGAGATTGCCCCTAGCCTATGAGTTTATATAGATAGTGTTTAGTATCTCTGCGGGACAAATACTTCGAACATCTATATATATATATATATGGTTCCCATTGGTTCCCATTGGTTCCCCCTGGGATGTTCTAAGTATATATGTTGGATATGTTCTAAGTATATTGCTTTTTCCTGATGTTCTAAGTGATACTTAGAACATCCCCGCTGTGAAGGCTTATTTTTTTCCAAATGATGTTCTAAGCATTTGTCCCTTACTTATAGCCATTATAGCAAATGATACCCTCCAGTAAACTAACATAGCTATTATAGTTATACTCACAGTTATGGAATATACCCGTTTTTCATGTCGCATAAATAGGACCTTTAGAATAGCTGTCTTAAAGTACCTATGAATCACCATAAAATCACTGCTCTCAGGATCCAAGACTCCTGCTATCTCCTGCTCTTCAGGTTTGGATAGAGGTGAAACTGCGAGTCCAAACCAGCCTACTTTGCGAGTCTGTGTCTATGATATGAAATCACCATAAATCCCAACAGTTTGGTCATCATTTCTTGGCATATCAGAGCCGCATCTTTCCCAAAAAGGAGCCGCGGTGCTGGGATGTAGTGAATGTTGGGCTGCCAGTAGAGGCCACCTACGAAAAGGACCACGGCAGCCTTCAGGTCATCTATCGGTACATCGATTGCACAATGTATTGCATATATATAATTATAAATATATATATATATATAAATAGTATGTATATATGTGTGACATAATATGTATATGTATATATGTATATAGATCTATGCACGTGAATAGATATAAGTATCAATATGAATATCATGCCCATATAAATATATAAAGTCAATATTCATATGCTATTTTGACATGATTACATTAATATCAATATAAAACCAACCCCCCAGCAGCAATGAATCTCACTGGATGAGAGCCCTGGCGGCACCTTCACACTTGGGCAGGTTCATGGTATATCTCACCTTCGCACGTTGTTCCTCCTTCTCCTTAGCGAACACAGCTTGGCTTAGAAAAAACACAGAAAGATACAGACAGACAGAATAGACAATATACATATACATATATATATATATAAGATACAAGATTCAATATACAATAATGTATTATGTGCATGATTATAAACATGTAGAACTAACTAAGCAATGTATATATATATATAATCTACAAAATGTGCATATATATATATATAAATAAATAAATGTGTATATATATATATATGTGTGTACGCACATTTCGTAGAATTTGTGTGTGTGTGTGTTTGTGTGGCCATCGCATTGGGGGGACAAGTGCCTGAAATCTTCCGACCTGCCAATCTTCCACAACATTTGAACCCAATTGGGACAAAGGGACGCCTTTGCCTCAAAGGAAAAGCAGCTTTAAAAATCTTTCGAAATTGAAACTGATATATATATATAGACTGATAATCTCAGTGTGTCCAATACTTCGGAAATCTGCTTGCAACATCTGGCACAGCATCGCAGCACGCTGTGGTACCAGACCCAGTACAGTCGACTCCTTTCCTGCCTAAGTTGGACATTTTCTTTCGGCTGGAACTGTTCTCAAAATTTGGATGTTCAACTTTTAAATGAGAGGCTCAAAAACAGGAATTGAGGTATGATTAGCTGACCGTTTTGCAAACTACAGTATTAGCAGATGCATGGCCGGTGGTCCACACAAAGAGTTGCTTCAAACGCAAAGCCCCGGGCTCGTTGATACATAAGCTTCAACCATCATCGTCACCAATCACCAACCATGAAATACCATGAATCACCATCACTCATCGTGATCAGCCACCATCCTCATCAAAGTGATACAAACCCCTTTTGCCAATCAACAGCAGCCAAGCAACTCTTCAGCCATCTTCTTCTTCACGGCGGCTTCTTCAACGTGTCTCACCACTTGCTCTGAAAAGCCTGAGAGCTTGCCACACGTCGAAAGCCACAACGCGCAGTCGTGAGGGATCAAAAATCGCTAAAGCCCCTTCAAAAGCCTAAACCAACCATTTCATCCCCAAGAAAAAAAACTGAATCCGCAAGTTGAATATGCAGCTACTTAGCTCAGCACATCATGTGACTTCGTCCCTGGGCAATCGGAATACTATCCCCTACCGGGCAAAGACAGCCCTTCATCATATATATCATAAAGCCCAAAGCCGCTCAGCAAGGTGCAGCAAATGCCAGTGCATGGGAATGTTGAAAGAACTCTATACACAACCACTAGACTATCATGCTATCTCTACATGTGGCTGTTTATCTGCCTACGTGCTAGTTCAATACCTCAATTATCCTGTCTGCCAATCAAAGGCATACAGTAAAGCCGTGTTGGAGCCATGAGCAAGTTTGTGCCTTCTTCCTGCGCAAATGGTAAAAATCATATCGCATTGCCACGTAAAAACCCTCCCCCTTGACATTTCCCTCGTTCTGTGTTTGTATGCGTGCCCTGTATATTCCGGACATTTTGCGTCAAATGCTGCTGGTTGTTGGTTAAAAACATTGAAACTTCAAAGGTCAACAGAAGCCAAGCCACTTTTGTATCGGATTCCCTTCTCCTTCTCCTGATCGAGCGAGGAACTGAGGCAGCACAGGGGCCTCATCAAGAATCACTATCAATTTGGGTTTTTCTTGGGAGAGAATGTATATTATATAGTATGAAGGAAAGGCCAGAAAGGCCTTTCAGATTAGCAAAGAAAGGGTCGAGTAGTTAAATTCTTGAGGTAGCTGTGTAGTGTCGAAGGCATGCTACAGGTATCTCAGAGCTTTATTTGGGCTCTGGCTTGACCATATCCTCCAGTTACAGCTCACCCTCTCATGATCATCCTGCTCATCCTCATCCTGCTCATCCTCCTCGTCCTCCTCGTCCTCCTTCTCCTCCTCCTCCACATCATCAACATCATCATCATCATCGTCGTCGTCGTCGTCGTAATCATCATCATCATCGTCGTCGTCGTCGTCATCATCATCATCATCGTCATCATCATCATCAATAATGATGATAATAATTAGTACCATACATATAATATATATGCATATATATAATGTATGATAATAACATTACCAATAATAAAATAACAATAAACATCATCATCTCATCCATCTGGCCCCTCACCAAGTGCTGGCCATGTTTGGCCCTCTGGCCTTCAGCTGCAGGGCATCAAAATCGATGCAGCAATAACCTCCCGCCATGGCTCCTGGGCGGATTATCATCATGAAATTATCCACCATTGCTAAATTATCATATGATGATGTTAAAACATGTAATGCTAATTGTTGTTTAATGTTATAAATTTAGTATTATTGTCATTGTTATCATTCTCATTGTCATCTATCTAATTTAGTCAACTCTAATCTAATCTAAGCTAATCTAATCTGTCTAGAGAGACAGAGAGTTAAATGTCATATACAAGACGCACTAATTAATATGTTGACATGTGCATCTGTGCGGGATTGTTTTACAAGGTTTTTATGTACCCTTGTATCCTCTTACTGTAGATTTCCTTATGCCCCTTTAGATCCCCTTATATTCCTTATATCCCCTTGGATACAAATCTCACATACCCTTGATTTCTCATCATTCATTTAGTCTTGGTGGACAGACTCCCCCGAATCTAACTGCTGCCAGGGCACCAGCCTTGGCTGCGCCGATGCGCAGCTACGGTGGCACGGCTGAGCCCGCCAGCAGGTCATGTTGGGTCAAGGCTTACGCCACGCGTTGAAAGATGTTGAAAGTCCTACCACAATCATGGTAAATTCAACCTCTTTCACCTTTTTTGGGGTGCTACATGTTACTTCATTGTATATATATTGTAGATAGATAGATAGATAGATAGATAGATAGATAGATAGATTAGATAGATTAGATAGATTAGATAGATTAGATAGATTAGATAGATTAGATAGATTAGATAGATTAGATAGATAGATAGATAGATAGATAGGATAGATTAGATAGATTAGATAGATTAGATAGATTAGATAGATTAGATAGATTAGATAGATTAGATAGATAGGTAGAGAGATAGATAGATAGATAGGTAGATAGATAGATAGATAGATAGGTAGATAGATAGATAGATAAATTCATCCATTTATAATCATATAATTATAAATAAATAAATATATATTATATTATATGTATAATATGTATGTATTATAATTGTTTCTGGACGAAAACATGACATGGTGCAGGGGCATCACTATCAAGCATGATGTGAGTAACTATCAAGAGGGTTGTTTTCTTGAAGGAACCTGCCAACTTCAAGCCCTTGGTGGCCTCCTGCTACAGAACCTTCATCTGGGATGACCCAATGCAAAGCCCAATCCGAACTCCACCTGACCCATGCTAGGTGCAGTGAAGTCGAACAAACACATACACCCAACAAGGATTCACTGGCACTCCGATTTTCCAGCTGCTAGCATGTCAAGGTTGCTACTGGGTGCTGCTGTCGTTTCGCCGCCAACCGCGCAGCAGCACCTCAGATCGCAGACCGTGAAAAGATCAAGGATATCAAGGGCGTGCTGTCCATCATCTGAAAATTTCCCAAGCAAACCCCACACACAAAAGATCCAAGAAGCTTATGTAGAGACAAATAATGGGATGTACTGTAATCCCATGGGCTTATACAGATTTTGCTTCTCCAGCATGCAGCTTCCCATGAGCGTTCTTGTATCAACGTCGTGTCAACGTATGTATGGGCAAATCAGGTGCATCATGGTGCATGAAATTTGGAGATGCTTCTACAAAGCCACAAAGCTACAAGAAAATTGTCAAATCAAAGGTCCCCTATCAGTGTCAGAATCCCGTTGCGGAATCAAAATCCCGGATCCTAGATACATAGCCGCCTTTCTAATAATCATTTCAGTGACAACGCCGTAAGGTCGCTATATGATGTTATGTGTCGTTATCATTTATCCGGATAGTTGCTGGTTAAAGCCGTCTCATCCAACCCCTCCCCAGCCTCCCCATCTCGCCTCACCACCGCATGTGGCCCTCGCTGGTTGCACCACCGGGCCTTCCGTGACACAAAGTGGCATACTTTTTTAGGATCAAAACTAGGGGACTTGGGGACTTGGGGCACTTGGTGACCAACGGATTGGGGACAACAACTTTGACACATGAAACGTAACTCTTGGGATGGATATGGATAGATGAAGATGGTCCTTCGGGAGACATGGGGACAGGGAACTTGGGGACAAGGGACTTGGGCCATGGGGACAAAGTATCACACACAGATACCAAGGCGACGGAGTCTGTTCAGATAACAAAAACACATGAGATGAAGAATAGGATGCCAAGAATTGCCAAGATGTCGTACACCAGCCATATAATGGCAAACAAAAACAGCTGTTCAAAAAATTGTGCACAAATGATACAAATGATGCCTAGGGCAAGGGCATCTATTCAGAAAGCTGGCCTTGACATGCAAAAATGATGTTACTTGTGAATTATTTTATCCGCATGGATTTTAATATGAATTCTTTTTTAATTTTCCCTACCCCGGCCAAGATTTATAGCTTATGTATGCTTATGTTTCCTCTTCTTGAAAGGAAAAAGCTGGATAATGCTGGCATTCGGAACTCCGAAGCCACCAGAAATGAGGAGACACTCTTCCCAAACGCATCCCTTTTCAGCGCCTGCGCGGACAGAATGAGAGCTAGGGCCTGGGACTGGTTCCACAGGCGAAGAGCTCAGCTCCCGGCACGAGGCACACGAATTGCCGTTTTGGAACCCTCAAAAGCGCGAGGCCCGACAGTCACAGCCTTTGGAAGGCTCACGGACTCCAACGGACAACCATCAAAAGCACAGCTACCAATGGAAGTCACGGAATCTGGAACCTCCAATGTCTTCAACGAACTGCAACCAAAGAAAGCCCAGAAAGGAATGCACGTGACAGAGTTTGAGAGCGTCAAGCTCACTAACGAAGAACAGTGGCTGAAAGAAGCATCACCAATTGAAGTCACCGAATCTGGAATAGTCAAGCTGACCAGCGAACTACAATAAGCAAAAGAAAAGTTTCCAATGCGAGCCACAGAGTTCGGAATGGTCAAGCTTTCCAACGAAATGCAACCCTCAAAAGCCGAGTTCCCAATGGAAGTCACAGAGTTGGGAATCGTCACGCTCTTCAAGGAACCGCAACCCTCAAAAGCTGAGTTCTCAATGGAAGTTACGGAGCTTGGAATCGTAACACTCTCCAGCGAACTGCAACCCTTGAAAGCAGAATCCCCAATTGAAGTCACAGAGTCTGGAATCGTTAAGCTCTTCAAGGAACTGCATTCCGAAAAAGCCAGGTTCCCAATGGAAGTCACAGAGTTTGGAATCGTAACACTCTCCAACGAACTGCATTCCCGAAACGCTGAGTCCTCAATTTCTGTCACAGAGTTTGGAATCGTCACAGTCTTCAACGAACGGCATCCTCGAAAGGCCGAGCTTCCAATGAAAGTCACAGAGTTTGGAATGGTCAAGGTCTCAAACATACTGCATTCCCAAAAAGCCAAAATCCCAATGGAAATAACAGAGTTTGGGAGCGTCACGCTCTTCAAGGAACTGCAAGCCCCAAAAGCTAACTTACCGATTGAAGTCACAGAGTTTGGAATGGTCAAGCACTCCAACGAACTGCAACCCAAACAAACCGAATCCCCAATGGAAATCGCAGAGTTTGGCAGTATCAAGCTCTTCAAGGAACTGCAACCCTCAAAAGCCAGATTCCCAATGAAATTCACAGAGTCTGGAATCGTTAAGCTTTTCAAGGAACTGCAATCCTCAAAAGCCAAGCTCCCAATGGAAGTCACTGAGTTTGGAATCGTCAAGCTCTCCAACGAACTGCATTCGCGAAAAGCCGAGTCCCCAATTTCTGTCACAGAGTTTGGAATCGTCATGCTCTTCAACAAACTGCATCCCGAAAAAGCGGAGTTCCCAATGGAAGTCACAGAGTCTGGAATCGTCAAGCTCTTCAGCGAACTGCATCTCCGAAAAGCCAAGATCCCAATTGAAGTCACAGAGTTGGGAATTGTGACGCTCTTCAAGGAATTGCAACCCTCAAAAGCCGAGTTCCCAATGGAATTCACAGAGTTTGGAATCGTCAAGCTCTCCAACGAACTGCATCAGACAAAAACAAAGTTCTCAATTGAAGCCACAGAGTTTGGAATCGTCACGCTCTTCAAGGAACCGCAACCCTCAAAAGCTGAGTTCTCAATGGAAGTTACGGAGCTTGGAATCGTAACACTCTCCAGCGAACTGCAACCCTTGAAAGCCGAATCCCCAATTGAAGTCACAGAGTCCGGAATCGTTAAGCTTTTCAACGAGCTTTGACCCTGGAAGGCTTTGCTTCCAATGCGGTCAGAGTTTGGGATGGCAAATGCCTGAACTTTATTCATTGAATCCCTATTTTCGAGGGTGTGAGTCCACCCAGAATGATGTGCGTTCCACATGTGCCAAGCTACAAGCATTGTGCAAGTGTATAGTAAACGGCGGTGTTGCCTTCGTCTTTCCATGTGACGTTTTTGGCGCCAAATCGCACTTGCACGTTACGTTAAAACACGGTGAAACAGTTTGAGCACAAACACTTGCAGAAGCAGAAGATTTGGAGATCAAACCTATGATACCACACTTGAGGGGAATGGACATTCATCTGCT